TGCCCTTTCTTTCCAAAATGTAATCGTGTGTAAATAAATAGGTATACCAAGTTCTTTTAAGCACAACACCCAAATGAAAACTTTCATTTACTAAAACTGAAGAAAAGACAGAGGGAAATGCGTCTGTTCAAGCCTGGCTTTCTGACTTTAATAGTCCATCAACCTCATTTCAACTACTGAAGGCTGCAGAATGATCAAAACCGAAATATAGGACTATGTGACGGAGTTCATATTTAAACTTTTGAAAATGAAAATGAATCTCAGTCGGAAAGTTCAGGCAGGGAGAAAGGGGTGTTTTAAAGAATTAAATGTTATGGCTCAGGCTCAAAATAACTACAGCTGGCAGGAAATCAAGGCTTTCCATATTGTGTCTTCAGTATTGTCAGTGACTAGTGTAGGTTTTCTGGATGTGTATTTTTTAAATGCTCCTTGAAATCGGTAAGTAATATGAGCATTACGTGGACCTTATTTGAATTTATTTGAATTTCAACAGCTACCAACAGATGTGCTTAGAAGCAATAGGCCCCAATTCCCAAATAGCACAGTATTTCAAATCTATTTTAGACTCTGAAATGAGAGCCCATTCCAGAAAGACAGTTCTGAACCTTTCTCCCAGCTGCAGAAATACCTCCTCTTGTTGCCCCCCTGACCTACACCAAGGGAAGCCGCTTGAAAAGATGTTCCTCTGCCAACAATCATTTTACCATTGTAACCCACAAATGGAAAAATAAACTGTTGGCTCCTCTTCAGAAAACCTGTTCCCACATTGCCCAGAACCAGGCAGATAAATAAAACCATAGAGTGCTTTTCATTCTCGTCTCATTTTCCAAAACGATCTTGTTATTTTTGTTACCTTGGTGAGCTCATAAAATGGGGCTTATCTACTAACAGTTAAGTCACATGAACCTTTTTAAGGTAAGTTATTTTATCCAAGGTTCTAGGACCATCCCTCCTTCTGGCCTGTTCCTTGGGACTTAACTCCATTGGTTTTCAAACTCACCTAAAACGATTTGCTCTCCCTCCCACCCCTCTCTTTAGGATATACAAGCCCTTCCCATTGGAAAATACAAACCTCTAACCTGAATTCTTCTCTGCCTATTGGCATATCTTATTTCTTCCCTTCATAACCCAGCTCCCAGAGGTAATAAATCCCTAGTAAATCAGATGGAAACTCTAGGACTTTGCTTTCAGACATAATGGCAACGACTTTATTAGGTGCCTCTCTGTGAGAGCCAGGTACTCTTATAGGCCTTAGAATGAATCTATCTATCTATCTATCTATCTATCTATCTATCTATCTATCATCTATCTATGAGAGAGAGAGAGAGGTGGGGGAGGGACAGAGAGGTAGAGAGAATATCTATTTTTTTAAAGATTTATTTATTCATGAGAGACACAGAGAGAGGCAGAGACATAGGCAGAGGGAGAAGCAGGCTCCCTAAGGGGAGCCTAATGCGGGACTCGATCCCAGGACCTCAGGATCATGACCTGAGCTGAAGGCAGATGCTCAACCACTGAGCCACTCAGGTGCACTGGGTGGAAAGAGAATCTCAAGCAGGCAGCATGCCCAGCATGGAGCCAACGGGGGTGGAGGGGGGGGGGCTTGGTCTCACAACCCTGAGATCATGACCAGAGCCAAAATCAAGAGTATGTCTGAGCCATTCAGGCACTCCTCAATTTTTTTTCTTGATTATAAAAATATATGAATAATTCATATTCTTTATAACAAATCAAGCAATACAGAAACAGACAAAGACAGAATCAATGCCTCCCCTGCCTGAGCTCCCTATCTTTAACTGTCACAACCACTAGAAGAAAATTGAGGCGGAGAAAGGGTCAGAGTGTACCCTGCAGTGTTTAAGAGGAAGAGTTGTGGGGTCTGAGGGCCTAGATTCATACCTTGACTTTGTCATTTACTATGTGTCCCCGAATAAATTACTTATTATTTCTGCACCTCAGTTTTCCTATCTATAAAATGGGGCTAAATGATAGTACCTAGTTCACAGGGTTCAGTGAGGATGTAATGCACCAAAACACAAAAATATTGTTGTTTCTAAAGAAAAAAAAGATCAAAAAGAGATTTAAAAATGACAGCTGAGAAGAACTCACTAGGCATTAGAACAAAATTCTATTTACCATTCTGTATCTACTGTAGAGATAAAAGAGTTTTTAAAGCAGCTGGAAGAATTTGCTCAAAAAATATGCTCTTGTAATGATGACACCATTGATGCACTTTGTTTTTTAAGGTCACGCTATGTTTTAAAAGATCCCGCAATATTTCAAATTTTCATAAATTTATTGATTTGCTAAAGTACCAACTTCTTTATTTTTAACCATTAATTGTATTGCAATCACACAATAATTATGTTTAACATTTAGAGATTGCAAATGTATTTGATGTGATGTTTTATACTATATTTTTCCAATTTTATAATGGCTCTGTATACCCCTGGGCTGACCTTGGTCAGACCCTGGGGCCTGTCTGCCCGGCCAGCACCCAACACAGACCTTCAACCTCACAGATTCATCAAGCATCGTCATGCATATTTGCTCTGAGTGCTGCATTACTAGAAAATGATTAAATCACAATTATTGACTTTTCTGGAGTAAATCATTACCCACATTCTGGTAACTAAAATATTTTCACTCCACTTCTATTTATATACTTTTTCTAAGAGGCCACAGAGAGATGACTGCCACTGTGAAGCTACTTTTAATCATGTAAAGCCTCTTTCTCATCATCCCCTAGACACACAGAGTTTCGTGAGCTTTTTATGGGAAACTGAGGAAATGAACATAGTGTGCATCTCCTCCTCTCACCTGCCCACATTCTTTCCTGTCTTCACCGAATAACATGGTATTGAGGCCCTCAGCATTCTACGCTGGGTGGCCTCGCCCAAGGAACCATGGCTCTGCAAGTCACTAGACAAATACACTTGTTTAAAGAATTAAGTCAAGAGTGAGAGATCCCTTTCAAAGCAAGGAAGAACTGCTCAACAAGATTTGAAGAATCCAAGAGAAATAAGACCATACAATTCACAGGCTCTCTTCATTCACCTTATATTAGGTTTATCCATTGAAAAAGCATGCTTTTTCTGTTTCCCAGGAATTTAAACATGCCACAGTTCTACAGTGTGAAGATCTGTGACCACACTGCACTTCTCCTGAGAAGCCCTCCTTCCTTCTTTCCTCATTTTTCTTTTCTCTTCTTCCTTCCTTTTTTCTTTCTCTTTCTATCCCTCCCCGCTCCCTCTTCCTCTCTGTTCACATCGTTTTTCTCTGGTTGACTAGATGGCTCAAATGTTTTCCATCATCTCTCTTTATTCCCCCTTTAAAAAAAATGTATGTGTGTGTGTCTCCCTAGAATGTTTTAAGCCCCAACTTAAGACCTTATTTTGTTCTTTTCAATAGTTTCTGGTCTGTCTAGGACACAAACGGAATGAAAGACCCCAGAGAGAAAATTACATTTCACACTAAACTCAGTTTTATCACCTCTCAGTTTCTGATTTAAAAAAACAACATATACTTTCCTTATTTTTGACCAGCTAATGTATGTGTAACTGTCGTCTAGGCACTTTGAGAAAAAAGAAAAACAGTAAAATACAGGGTCTGTGATGTTAATATGCAATTTTAAAGATGCCTACTTTCCCACAAACTGATTTCAGCTAAGGGTGGCATTACTGTATCATTAACCATGGCCCTAGACTATAGAATGAGCTTTAAAATGTCCTGACCTCAGTCTAGATGGCCTAATGTCCTGCATTCATGCCCCTCCTACTTCATCCCCCCCACATTTCTTAATGATTTTGGCTCCTGGCTCATTCTCACTGCTCTGGACTTTTAGCTTTCAGTGTTTTCAATACAGACATCAGTGATCCTTCCCACCCTGGCCTCCTGATTCATTGACCTCCTCCCCGGAAAGGCCTCACCCCCAGTCTGCCTCATCTCAGCTCCCCTCTGAGGAGGAGTAGGAAGATTCTGACCCACCCCTTGCAGTCCGCTCCCAGACTGCTATGGCATCCTTCTAGCTCACTCTGGTTCTTGGCCCCAGTGACCTTCAATTCCCTGGGTCTTCCAGTGTATGGATCAGGCCACCTTTTCACTGCCCCTCATCCCTGTATGTCCTCTACTCCTCCAGGCTTAAATTCTAAGATCGATTATGATCATCATTCTCTTGCCCATCTTGCTTCAGCTCTAAATCTGACTCTGCTTACTCATGCTGTGCCTTTATACTGACTGTGGCTGAAGAAAAATTCACAATCAGGCTGAAGGGCCTCACTTCAAATTCATGACCTTGTTGATCTCTCCTTAGAGTCCCACTGCCTCTTGCCTCATACTTACTTGGCAATCTTGCTTTCTACTTTACTGGGAACACTGAAGCAATCAGAAGAGAATTTCATAGATACCACCACTTCAACCCACTGACCAGCACACATATCCTCATCCTTTACCATCCTGCTGGTTCACACGAGTGAACTTGGCATGCTTTCAGCCCCTTCCTCCACCAAGGCACCAGATTCCATCTGCTCTTATCTATTCAAGACATCCATCCACTGATTCTCCTTCCTCTCCCTTACATCATGAATTTTTCCTCCCTGCTGAATCACTGACATCAGCATGTACACATACTTCTTTTTGTCCCATTTTAAAATCATTTTCTTTGATCCACTTTCTCCACCAGCCATCATCCCACTTCTCTGAAGTAAAACTCCTCAAGAGTCGTGAATACTTGCTGCTTTAACTTTCTCCTTCTTCTCCCTTCCCATTTCCTCTTAAACCCATTATAGCTGAGCTGTCACCCTCCCACTCTTCTAAAACTGTTCTTGTCAAATGATGACCCCATTTATTTCCTTTTGGAGCAAATTCCTCAAAAAAAATTGTCAATATTCACTGTCTCCAGTTTCTTTCCTCTCATTCCTTTCAAACCCCAATCCAACCCCCACCACTCCACTGGAAGTGCTCTGAGTCACCAGTAACTCTTTTTGTTGTAAAGCCCAATAATGAGTTCTCAGACTTCATTTTACTTCACCTGTCAGCACCATGTCACCCAGGTGAGCACTTTCCCTTCCACATCTGGCTGCCAGTACATTGCACACTCTCATATTCCCTCCTACTTTACTGGTCTCTCCTTGGTCTTCTTATTCTCCTTGACTTTGTAATTTTGGAAGCCTCGGGGCTCAGTCTGTCAATACTCACACCCTTGGTGATTTCATCCAGCTCTCTGGCTTTAAATATCATGTATGTTGATTATTCACAAATATGTATCCCTGTCCCAGACCTCTTCTGTGCTCCAAATTCCCAATGCCTACTGTCTTAACTCTGTTGTCCAATAGTAATTTTAAATTTAGCTCATCTAAAAGTAACCTTCTGATTCTCCCATAGAGATTTGCTCCATCACAACCTTCCCTGTCTCTCCTTCTGGCAACTCCATCTCACCAGCCGCTCGGGTCAAAATCCAGGGAGTCATCCTTGACTTCTTTTTCTTATTTCCCCTACCCAATTCATCATGAAACCATGCTAGCTATACCATCATACTATATCCACTGCCCACCTCCATTGCTACACTTGATCTGAGAAATTTCTTCCACTTGGATTACTTTTGCAGCTTTCTAAAAGATCTCCTGACATATACTACTGCCCCCATCCAGTCTATTCTTCACCCAGGAGCAATCCATGCAGAACCTAAGTCAGATTCTGAGTTCTTTGTTCTAAATCCTGAAATAGGGGCAACCTGGGTGGCTTAGTTGGTTAAGTGGCTGCCTTAGGCTCAGGTTGTGATCCCAGGGCCATGGCATCAAGCCCCACATTGGGCTCTCTGTTCAGCGGGGAGCCTGTCTCTCCTTCTCTCCCTCTGCCTCTGCCTGTTGCTCTACTTGAGTACTCTGAGGGAAGAAATCTTTGTTCGATTTGCCAATATATCCTAAAAGGCCTAGAATAGTGCTAGGTATAACATAAGCACACAATAAATATTTAATGTTCAATAGATTATGTACTCCTTAAAGGTATGTATTCCTTAAAGGTAGTATCTGCCTCAGAACCATTTCAGCCTCATGCTATTCTTGTGGGAAGATTCTTTTCAAACTATTGATTCAATCTACTTCTTGTTTCTATGTCTGTTTAGGTTTTCTACTGTATTTCAGTCAGTGTTGATGAGTTATACAGTCCATGAAGTAATACATTTCATCCAGGTTTGAAAATGCACTGGCATAAAGTTAATGTGCTCCCTGATATTTCTTTAGATCACTACTGTGTCTATATTTTTCATTCCAAACACTGTTTACTTATTCTCTCTCCCCTTTTATTGTTAATCTTTGGGGGTTACTCTATTGTCATTCATTTTCCTTATGTTCCTCATTACCTTTTCTCTACTTTCTCTGGCCTAACTCAGCTGATCTTTTACACATTGCTCAAGTTACACTCTTTGATGGGTGATACAGTGCTCACCAGTACTCAGAATTTCCTTCTTCCAGGCTCAGGGAACGATAATACTTACTACCTGACCTCTGAAGCTAGGTAAGGCCAACTGACTGGCTCTGGCCAATGACACATGACATTTTTGATAGAAACATTTAATTCATGGGGAATGATGGTCTTTTCAATAAGCAGTGTCTGGTCAACTCAGTATTCATATGGAAAAAACAAATCTTGACTCTTATCACACCGTTCACAAAAACCAGTTTGAGATCGATTGTAGACATAAAAGTGAAAGATCTTGGAGAGGGGAGATTTCTTTTTTTTCTTTTTCTTTTTTTCTTTTCTTTTTTTTTTTTTTTTGAGAGGGGATATTTCTTAAACAGAGCACAGAAAAACACTAATCTAAAGGGGAAAATGATAAATTCGAATATATTACAATTTACAACTTTTGTTCATCCAAAGACATCATTAACATAGAGAAAAGTAACTCAGAAAGGGAGAAGATACTTGCAAGACATCTATCTGAAAGAAGATTTGTATCTAGCAGGTACAAAGGATTCCTACAAATCAGTATGAAAAAATACAGAATTATCAATAGAAAAATGGGAAGAAGACTCACTGTGTAAAGAGAGGATATCCAAATGGCCCCAAAACACAAAAAAATTCCCATTTTATTACACTTTAGGTAATGCCAACTTAAAACCACCATGTGATACCACACCCGCTGGTAATGCAGAAATAAAAAGGATGACACAGTGTATGGAAATGGACTGTCAGGAGGCTGACCCTTGGAGGGCCTAGAAGCAGCATCTTGGTCAACTGACAACAGCCTGAAAAATGGCTTGCACTGTGAAGAGCCACATGGCCCTGGTGGGAAAGGCGCCTAGAAATGGGGAAGCTGGGGTCTGAAGGGATGGCTGGGGCAAAAGCCAAGGAATCAAGGACTGAAAGTTGTGCCATCTTCTCAGGACCTGTGGCTGAGGAGGAGGGCGCTGAAGTGGTGGAGCAGAAGCCAGGAGATGTAGAAATGGAAGTGGGGGAGGGAAAAAAGTGGTAAATGAGGTGAAGGTCAAGGCAGGTCCCTGGTTCCTGAACGTGGATCTCTACGTGAGCTCCCTGGAGGCCATCCAGCTGGAAGTGGACACCGTAAACGTTTAGGCTGACAGAGCCGTTCTACAGTTGTGGTGCAAGTTTGGTCAAGTACATCAACACTACTTAGAGCAGAAGAGCTACATCATTCGGAATATTCCCAGCTTCTGGGTCAGTGCCTTTTGGAACTAGCCACAGCTATCCACCTTGAGTAGAGGCCAAGAAGCAGACACGTTAAGGTACACAGCCAACTTGGAGGTGAAAGACTTCAGACACCCTAGGATAGGCTCCAAGTTCAAATTCCTGTTTCAAAGAAACCCCTTGTGCAGAAACAAGCTGATTGTCGAGGAATAGGAGGTCAGATCATCCAGCCAAGTGGAGTCTCTTGCCACTCCAATCATATGGCACCCAAGCCATGAACTCTAGACCTTCATTCATAGGAATCAAGGCATCACCTGCAGCTTCTTCACCCGGTTTTCAGACCACAACCTTCCAGAGTGTGAAAGAATTGCTGAGATTATCAAAGAGGACCTCTGGCCAAATCTATTCCAATACTACCTGTTGCATGAAGGGGCCTCCAGAGCTAGATTTTGCCAGATAAGGAAGCCAATGGAGATCCCTTGGTTCCAATCTCGTTAACCTTTGCCCTCGGAAATACTCCCATACAAGATCTCTTACCTCTTCCTGCTGGAAGTGCCTTGGCAACAGCACTGGGTGTGCCTATTGCTGCTTTTGTACTGACCTTCCTTCAAACACTCATACTCTCAACCGCAGGATTGAGACCTTCATGGCTTTTCTGCATTAACATCACGTGCTACGTGGCATGGTGTACACTCTTTTCAGCCAAACAAATGATGCTGTAAATTGCACTGCCTTTACCTACACTGTTTGGACCCTGTTTCTTCCCAGGGCCTCTAGTCTGGTTACTACCCCCTGGATGTCTAGCTATGTTCAGAAGCCTGTTTTACTCACTCTGCTCATCACCTGTGAAAAATTGCTGGGCATTAATAAGGCCCAGGGAAAACATCAGTGTGCTACTTGGCCTATGTGATTCATGCAATTCCATTGATCTTTCTGCCCTTCCAGGCACTGAGTGCTACCTGCTACTGGCTACACCCACCCCTTAGGCTGCTGCCTGATGGATGTACATCGTCCAGACCACTGCCAGCTTCACTTTCTGGGTTTTGATGCACAATGATCTCCAGAAGTGATGGTAGGCCCAGGTTCCCTGCCGGCCCATAAAACACATTTCACTTAGGAACCCTACTGGCTGTCAGGCAAGTGGCTGAAGTGACAAGTTAGACCCTATTCACATGGCAAGGATAATGGTAGGGTCCTTGATGACAAAGCACAAGGCTTTCTCAGCCTCACCCAGTGAATTCATACAAAATTTAGAGACTTTGATTTGCCTCCCTTCTTCATCCTCAACATGATGAAGTGTCAAAGGTGCCAGGGTGGTGTACCTTTTCTCTTCCTCTTCATCTCCTTCTCTTTGTCTCTCATCTCTCTTCTGCCTTTTTTTTTTTTTTAAAGATTTTATTTATTTATGAGAGAGAGAGAGAGAAGCAGAAACACAGGCAGAGGGAGAAGCAGGCTCCATGCAGGGAGCCTGATGTGGGGCTCTATCCTGGGACCCCAGGATCATGCCCTGAGCTGAAGGCAGATGCTCAACTGCTAAACCACCCAGGCATCTCTTTTCTACCTCTTTTTAAAAAGTGGTAGCCACCCCTCCTTAAAAAAAATAAAGGAAAAAAAAGTGGTAGCCCAGATACATCTGCAAGAGCAAGCTCTTCAGTTTAATCTAGCTCTCTTTCCATCTCCAGAGGCAGAGCGGGTGTCCTGTCAAGGAAACTCCTGGAGCTCTTATTACCCCTCCATGCTCTCCCAGCCCCTCCCCTCCCTTAGCAATGCCTACAGGGCTTACCGGAAGACTAGTCCACAGGGAAGGAAAGGTGTTTCCAGTTCAGAATGGATGAAAGGAACCAAAGAGATTCAGGTGGGTGCCCTAAGCAGGGAAAACTGAACCAAAGGCCAGATGCAGAAATGAGCCAGGGAAATGCAGGGCCTAGAATTAAGACTGGGTCAACCGAGAGCCTGCAAGGAAGGCAGACTTGCTCTGGGAGTAGTGATGGGAGGAGAATATTTTTCTTGGGACTGGCACAGTAGAACTGCAGGTAGCCAAAGCCTTAACTCTGATACCTCACAAAGGGTTCTTTAAAGAAAAATAGTGCCATGTTGGCTGTTTTCCCTCCTGTTTTCATGTGACCTTATGTATGTGGAAGATGAATACAGTACTACTGTGCCCCGAAGTTCACTTGTATTTCATAAAATCCTATTCCTTTCTCTGCTTCTGGGAAGTCTTACTCCTTTCTCTGCTTACTGGGAAGACTTGGAGGTATAGATTTTGTTTTATTTTCAATTGGGAACATTTGAAAGAATATCCATCTCTTTCCTGTTTCCTGTAATAGAGAATTCTCTCAATATTACTAACAGTTTTCACCTGTTTCTGTTAAAACTATCTTTAGAAATACAACTTGCATAACTTGGTCTTGTCAGAAGCTCAAGACTTCAGAAATTGTTGTCTTCATGGAAAAGTTACCTAACGAAAAACTTGTGGCTCTGATTGTCTTGACAATTTACCCTGGTAACAACTTAGTAATTGAGTGTCTCTTTCCATAAATAGCAAAATTACTTGTGAGATTGCTCTGTAAAATTGGAAGGGCACCATTGGCATATTTATCTTTATTTATCCACATTATGGCAAAATAAAAGCATGTCAGCCTGAAAAAAAAAACAGACTAAAAAGATGGAAAATAACAAGGTGGAAAAGTACACAGAGAAACCAGAATGGCAGGAGAGTAGCCCGACACAAATACTCTAGACAATTGTTTGGCAGTATCTATGCACACCCTCTGATCCAGCTCTGGGAACATACCCAACAGAAATGCATATATGTATTCACAAAGACATGCATAAAAGTGTTGATACTAGCACAACTGAATACCTAACATTGGGAACTGCCTCTATATTCACCACTGGTAAAAACCCCCCAAAAAAACAAAAAACAAAACCCACCACCCAAGTTTTCAATATTCACACAATGTAATACTGTGAGAAATAAAGAATTATGCCTGCATGCAGTAATATGAATGATTCTCACAAACATGATGTTGGATAAAAGAAGCCAGACTCAAGACAATGTGCGATATAATTCCATTTATATATGAAGTTTAAGAACAGGTAAACTTTATCGACGGGGGTAGAAGCCAGAACAGTAATCACTACCAAGAACAGTGAAGACTCTGGCATCTGACCCTCCTTACAAACTTAGCGTGTTAGCCTGCCTAGTTAACAGTTGCTGAGTCCAAGACAAAGGACCTTACAACTCAATAGCCAGCATCGGTACTTGCAGCAGTCTCTTGGGCTCTAATTCTTATTCTGTAGCATGAAGAAGGCCCCATGACACCTGCACACACAGTGGGTTGTGTTAGAGGAAAGGAACCCTGGGCTCAGGAAAAGTGAATCCCTTATAATGGGAATTAAGCATGTCTGCCCTTTGCTTTTGAAGGCAGACATTATCTTTATTATACTGAACAGCAAGTAAACCTGCACTTTGCTCCATAGGGGACACAATGTCTACTTTTTCAAGGCTGTAAGCAAACCTGCCCTTTGCTCTGGAGGGAAACACTATTTCTGTGTTCCAAAGCTATTCATGGATATCCTTGGAGAGATACTCTGAACAAAGGCAGTTAGGGTTTCTGCTTCCAAGAGTTCAGAAACATCAGCGACCCATGATGATTATCTCCCAAATGTTCTAGGGGGTGGGTACCTAGTGACTGGAAGGGACTATGAACCCGACTCTATAGGACAGAGGATGTTCTGTGTCTTGATTTGGGTACTAGATACCTGGGTGTATTCAATTTGTGAAGCTTCACTGAGTTGTACATGTGTGAAACACACTTTTCTATATGTAATTATCCTTTAATAAAATACACTTGAGAAAAACAAAAATAGAAGTCCAAAGAAAACTAAGGAAAATAAAACCATGAAACAAAACCCAACAACAACAAAAAAACAAACCTCATCATTTCTCGAACCTCTATGCTAGAAAATAACTGGCCAGTTCTAGAGTATGTTTCAGATCTTTCTGGGTAGGCAATGATTCCATATATGTGAATTCTAACGGAGTCATTTACTGTGTCACAATTCAAATGGCTAAAATCCATTTTCTAAGAATAAAAGTATTCAATTATCTAGGTACAGGCCATCAACTTTTAGTATTTTTACTGTAGCTGTTCATTTTGTCAACTGACCTTTATCAGAGTTTTTCAGCTATAAACAGTTCATTAACCATGGCTTGTGAGATAGTTCATTTCTTTTTCCATCATGATAAATGTACTCTTTAATCCCCGTCACCTATTTCATCCATTTCCCTTCTGGTAACCCATCAGTTTGTTCTCTATAATCAAGAGTCTATTTCTTGGTTTGTCTTTTTTTCCCTTTGTCCATTTGTTTTGTTTCTTAAATTCTACAGATGAGTGAAATCATATGGTATTTGTCTTTCTCTGACTTATTTTGCTTAGGATTATACTCTAACTCCATCCATGTCATTGCAAATGGCAAGATTCATTCTTTTTTATGGCTGAATAATACTCTCTTATATATATTATATATATTCTTATATTATTCTTATATTCTTATATATATTAAATATAATATATATAATATTCATACACACACACACACACACACACCGCATCTTGCTGCTTCCATAATTTGGCTATTGTCAATAATGCTGCAATAAACACAGGGGTGCATGTATCCCTTTGAATTAGAGTTTTTGGATTTTGGGGCTAAATACCCAGCAGTCCACTTAGTGGATTGCAGGGTAGTTCTGTTTTAATTTATTAAGGAACCTCCTTACTGTTTTCTACAGTGGTCACTAATGTCTGCATTCCCACCAACAGTGCAAGGGATTCCTTTTTCTCCACATCCTCACCAACCATTGTTGTTTCTTGGGGGTTTTTTTGTTTGTTTTGGGTTTTTTTTCTAGCCATTCTGACAGATGTGAGGTAATACCACATTGTAGTTTTGATTTGCATTTCCCTGATGATCAGTGATATTGAGCATCTTTTCCTGGGTCTGTTGGCCATCTGGATATCTTCTTTGGGGAAATGTCTGTTCATGTCTTCTGCCCAGTTTTTAATCAGATTATTCATTTTTGGGGTGTTGAATTCTTTATGTATTTTGGATATTAACTCTTTATTGGATTTGTCATTTGCAAATATCTTCTCCCATTCCATAGGCTGCCTTTTACTTTTATTGATTGTTTCCTTCACTGTGAAGAAGCTTTTTACTTTGATGTCATCCCAATAGTTTATTTTTGCTTTTATTTTCCTTACCTTGGGGGATATACCTAGAAAGATGTTGCTGCAGTCAACGTCAGAGGCATTACTGCCTATGCTCTCTTCAAGGATTTTTATGGCTTCAGGTCTCACATTTAGGTCTTTATTCCATTTTTAGTTCATTTTTGTGTATGGCATAAGAAAGTGGTCCAGTTTTCTTCTTTTGCATCTAGCTATCCAGTTTTCCCAACGCCATTTGTTGAAGAGATGTCTTTTTCCCATTATTTACTGTTGCCTCCTTTGTCAAAGATTAATTGACCACAAAATTATGTGTTTATTTCTGGGTTTTCCATTCTGTGCCATTGATCTGTGTGTCTATTTTTATGCCAGTACCATTCTGTTTTAATTATTACCACTTTGTACTGTAACTTGAAATCTGTAATTGGGATACCTCCAGTTTTGTTTTTCTTTTTCAAGATTGCTTTGGCAATCTTATATTTTTTTCAGGGTCTTTTGTGGTTCCATACAAATTTTAGGATTATTTGTTCTAGTTCTGTGAAACTTCATTGAGTTGTACATCTGTGGAACACACTTTTCTATATATGATTATCTGTCTTGTGAAAAGTGTTGTTGGCATTTTGGTAGGGGTTGTATTAAATCTGTTTATAGTTTTGGGTAGTAAAGGCATTTGAACACTATTCATTCTTCCAATCCATAAGCATGGAATGTCTTTCCATTTCTTTGTGTCATCTTCAATTTCTTTCATAAGTGTTTTAAAGTTTTCAGAGTACAGATCTTTCATCTCTTAGGTTAAATTTATCCCTAGATATTTTATTGGTTTTGGTGCAATTTTAAATGGCATTGTTTTCTTAACTTTCTGCTGCTTCATTATTAGCGTATAGGAATGCAACAGATTTCTGTACACTGATTTTGTATCCTGTGATTTTACTGAATTCGTCAGTTCTAGTAGTTTTTTTGACAGGGTCTTTACGGTTTTCTATTTATGGTATCATGTGATCTGCAAATAGTTAAAGTTTTATTTCTTCCTTACCAGTTTGGATGCTTTTTTTTTTTTTTCTTTTTTGGTCTATTGCTGTAGCTAGGACTTCTAGCACTATGTGGAATAAAAGCCATAAGAGTTGACATCCTTGTCTTTTTCTTGATCTTTGGAGAAAAGCTCTCAGGTAGTCCCCACTAAGCATGAGGTTCTCTGTGAGTTTTGCATATAAGGACTTTATTATGTTGAGGTATATTCCCTCTAGAGCTACTTTGTTGAGGGATTTTATCATGAATGGATGTTGTACTTTGTCACATGCTTTTTCTACATCTATTGAAATGATCATATAGTTTTTATCTTTTTTTTTTTTGAAGAGATGGATCACATTGATTTGAGATACTGAGGCACATTTGCATCGTAGGAATACGTCCCAATTGATCATGGTGAATGATTTTCTGAATGTATTGTTGTTTTCAGTTTGGTAGTATCTTGTTGAGCATTTTTGCATCCATGTTCATCAGAGATATTGGCCTATAGTTCTTTTTTTGGCATCTATCTGGTTTTGCTATCAGGGTGATACTAGTCTCATAGGATGAATTTAGAAATTTTCCTTCCTCTTGTACTTTTTGGAATAGTTTGAGAAGAATACATATTAACTCTTCTTTAAATATTTGGTAAAATTTGTCTGTTAAGCCATCAGATCCTGGACTTTCATTTGTTGGGAGTTTTTTGATTACTGATTCAATTTAATTACTGATAATCAGTCTGTTTAAATTTTCTATTTCTTCCTGATTCAGTATTTGGAAGATTATATGTTTCTAGGAATTTATCCACTTCTTTGAAGTTGTCCAATTTGTTGGCATATAATTTTTTCATAATATTCTCTTACAGTTGTTTCTATTTCTGGTGTTGGTTGTTATTTCTCCTCTTTTTTGCTTTTGTTTTTGTTTTCGTGTGTGTGATTTTGTTTTTTTGGGTCTTTTTTTTGATGAGGTGATAGTTCGTTTCAAAGTTCAGCTCTGCCAGCCAAATTAATAATATCCATGTATAATTTAGTTCTATTGATCAGCAAGGATGATGCTATTCCGAGGATGGGCCCCATTATATACTTGCTCATTAAGACAGTCTTGATCAAAAGTTCTGTAGCCTATCTTTTCAGGCCTCCCTCTTTGAGGTATAAATATTTCACTTGATAATTAATAGTTAAAAACAATTTCAAGCCACAACTTTGGCATATGCCACAGAAGACTGTCATTAATAACAACACAATCTTCTGTTAAAAATGTAAAGAAAAGGGCAGCCCAGGTGGCTCAGCGGTTTAGTGCCGCCTTCGGCGCAGGGCCTGATCCAGGAGACCTGGGATTGAGTCCCACGTCGGGCTCCCTTCATGGAACCTGCTTCTGTCTCTGCCTGTGTCTCTGCCTCTCTCTCTCTCTCTCTCTCTCTCTCTCTCTCTCTCTCTCTCCCTCCCTCTCTCTCATGAATAGATAAAAATAAAAATCTTTAAAAAATGTAAGGAAAAAATTGGTTTGTCTTAATTAAGCAAAAATCTGTCCATTTCTGTATACCGTAAGTGTATTAGGGGATAATAAAAATAATTCAGTGTTGGAAATGTAGCAGGCTTCTTTTTTACATAAGGGATATAAAAACATTTAATAATGCACAAGATTAGCTTTTTGCCTTTGAAGCATAAGGTGGACTTACTTAGGCTTTTTACAATTCCGACTATCAATTCATATTACACATTATAATTTTAAATGGCATCCATTTGGATGGCTTGTCCTGTGTTTTCCAATGGCAAAATTTTCTCTTGGCTATTGGTAGCCAGAAGCATAGGACATATAGGTTACTTTGATTCATGTAAAGGGGTCCAAAAATTCAAGTTTAGTCTCTCTTACCAAGATATATAGAGATGGTAAAGGTGGTAGGTGGGATTTTTAAACTTAGCATTAAATGAGAGTCCAGAACATTAAACTAATAGTGCACTTAGTTACAGGTGGGGGCACCTGGGTTTTAGGGGGTTCTTCTTTAAATTGAAGGCAAGTCACTTAATTCCAAAGATACAGTTTAATTCATCTTCAAAATCTGAAGGTTTACTTACCCCTTAAAAATAAGTTTTCCACAAAGTTCTGTGCCTTTGCCTGGCTTGCTTTCTCTGTACTTTTTCTGGGTGACTTTAGCCACTGTCATAGTGTCTGCCATCACCTTTGACAAAAGGACCCTGAAATTGGAATTTCCAACCCTTACTCTTGATCAAGGTCTGACAACTCCATTTACATAACATCTTCAGAATTGCTCTATTCCCCCTTGTGTTTGACTACACATTGTTATGTTTCACTACAACATCTCTTGCTATGTTACTGAAAATCTCCAGATTGTATCTCCTAAATCTGATCTTTCTTTTCCCAACATTCACCCTGTTGACAAAGTGATCAAGTCCCTTATACCCAGATATCCATATCAGTCCACCACTGCCTACAGAACAAATTCCCAACACCCTGCTACTGCACTCAATTACAATGAAAACCCTGCCCCAAAATCTTGCTGGAGCCCACTCACATGAGACTCTGTGCTATACCTCAAGCAGCCCAAACACTGTCCTGGCTTCTGTGCCTTTCCTTCATCTTCCATTTTCTTCCCAACCTTCTTACCTACGGAAATCCTATCATTCTTTCTAAATTCAAATGCCATCTTTTCTAAATAACACCCCCAACCCCCTACCTCCTGTAGCATACACTTTGTAGGCATCTATTTCATACAAACTTATACTGTAGTTCTTTATATATGTTACTTGGTTGTAGGTCTTTGTTACTCAATGTTAAAGGCCAAGATCATGTTTTAGTAGTTATCTTTTTCATCTGTAAGGGATAAGACACAGTCCCATCCTCAAGTCGCCTGGAGTCTAGCACAGAAGACAATTTACAGTGTGAGAAGTGCTAAAATAAGAGCAAGCACAGGGATGCCTAGAGGCTCAGCGGTTGAACATCTGCTTTTGGCTCAGGGTGTGATCCCAGCTCCTGGGATCGAGTCCCACATTAGGCTCCCCCCAGGGAGCCTGCTTCTCTCTCTGCCTCTCTCTCTGTGTCTGTCATGGATAAATAAATAAAATCTTTCAAAAAAAAAAAAAAAGAGCAAGCACAGAATGTTATGGGACCACATGAGAACAGTGTTTCCTCAAGCTGAGGCTACAGGGTGTCAGGGAAGGCTTCTATTATTATAAGTGGCTTTCAAGTTCCTTTGTAGATACCATACTTGACTGTAAGCTTTTTCAGAGTAGAGATTTATCTTTTCATCTCTGAATCCCTAGGAATACATATCTTATGTCTAGCACAACATAAAATAGACCCTCTAAGGTTACTTAATGAATGTGTAAATAAAAGATGCCCAAGACGTTCATTTATAGTTCTAAATGTGTAGAGCAAATCATATTAGTCTTTTGTACTTTTTTATCCTACTTATCAGATGGTCAATAAATAATATAAATAATAATTGACTAATGAAAACCTCAAAAAAAGTTAAGAACCTATTTTTAGGCTTGAGGTTTTAGGTATTACCTGGCATAGTTACCCAAAAAATTCCTAAGAAAAAATAGCCGGAGCAGAAACTTCAGTCAAATCCTTATAAATACCTTAATTCCAAGTCTCAGAAAGGAATATATGTGGACAAATGAGCTGTTTTGAAATTACAGATCCAAAATGTGCCAAAACTGTGATACTTGCTCCTTAATCTCTAAATTCATCTCAGTTAAAAAGAAAAACAGGCTTTATTACAGCCCTTAACAATATATTACATATATATTAAGTATATATATTTATTAAATATAATTGATTTATGTATTAATATAATTTTAAAATTATATTAAATATATTTATAACATATTAATTAAAATTGTTATTAAATATAATATATATTAAATATCCTTCAATAAGATATTAAGCAATATATTAAGCCCTAAACAATATAATAGTTCTCATTTATTAAGTCCCTACATCATGGCACCACTATGCTAAGCAGCACTTATGTGCATTATTCTTTTAATTCTCATACAACTCTACAAGGTATTCCTGTCCTCATTTTGCAAATGAGGAAAATGGGACTCCATTGAGATACCTGTTTTTGGTCACTCAGATAAGGCAGTAGTAAAGCCAGAATTCAAACCCAAGTCTGGCTCCAGAGTCTCCTAACTGTATATGGATAGAAATATTATCTTTTGTTTTATAGTAGAAAATTATCAAGATAGTCTGCCAATGGCTTAGATTTTTCCCATTTGTGCACAAAAATTCTTAGCATATAAAACACTTTACTAATTTTGATAATTAATGAAAGTTCCAACAACAAAGGTTAAGTGCAAAATCAGAAGCACAGTACTGATAATACATAATTGTTTGTTTTTCCTTTAACAATTATCAACATAGTATGACCTAATGTCTTTTGAAATCTGAATACCGCCCACAAGTGACTTTAAGATACAGTGGCATTCATGGCACATCTACTGTTGGTTCAAATCACTTTGCTGCAGGCACAGTCACAGCTGAAGCATATTTTTAGGTGTTCAGGGGGCTCCACCAAGCTTTCTGTCCCAAAGTAACCAGCAGGATTTGGAAGACAATTCACTTTGTCCAGGAAGACCAAATAACAGAGGTCTTTTTGGGTGGGGAAGGGATTATGTCACTGTCTAGAAATCTTTGATAAACTTGGCTCCTCAGCAATGGCAGGCTGGGGAAAGAATCCACAGCCAAGCAATACATGTGAGGTCCCAGAAATATGGAAAGAGAAGGGTAAAATGGAAAAATCTCAAGGAGAAAGTACAATGGAAGAGAAAAATAGTCATAAGAGAAATTTTCAATGTTAGTTGTGTATACCCAAAGGAATACTAGTGTGAGACCTAAGAGACAGTGATTTTTTAGTTCCAGCTTGTTTTCCAATCTAATTTTGGGACTTCTCGGGGGAAGTGTCATCTCCCTGTGGTTGGAATTTATTACTCATGATGAGAGGAAGGTGGAGTAGAAAGTCTTTATGTTTCCTTTTAGAGCTTTGATCCTCTCATGCTAGGGAGGCTGCAGATACATATCCCTGGGACTTTACTACTACTTGGAAATATGATTGAACTTAATAAAGCAGAAATAAATGGGTATCTTCTTAACTCGATAGAATATACCTTGGCCCCAAAGTCACCACCGTGCTTACTGGGGCAACAGTAGGGATATTCCCACTCAAGTTAGGAACAAAGAAGGGCATTCACATTCACTTGTCACCACTATTATTTAACAGTACTGATGTCAGACAATACAATTAATAAGAAAAAATAAGTAGAGGTGCAGAAGTGTAGAGAAGGAAATAAAAATATCAGCATTTGTTATTGTTGTGGGAAACCTGAGATATTCAACTGTAAAGTACTATAAACAAGAAAAATTAATAAGGTAACATGACATAGAATTACTAAAGGGATATTAGTAAATTTAAGATGATCAAACAGCAAATTAGAAGACGAAATGGAAGAAGACTACATTTATAGAAACAGTAAAGGATGAAATGAAGTATCCAAAAACAAGACTTAGAAATATCTAAGATTTATAAATACAATTTTAAAGCATTCCTGAAGGCCACAAAGATACGTAGAAAAAGAATGGCATAGTTCTTAGATAAGAAGTCTCAAAGTGATTAGTTCTTCCTAAGCAAACTTTTAAAAAGTTATCATAATTACAATAAACAAGGCCAGAAACTCCTGAGGAAGGGTGAGAGACAAATTCTAAAGTATGTTAAAAAAACAACAATTTCAAGGACAAAAAAGAGTAGAAATGAAGGTGTGCCTGGCTGGTTCAGTCAGTAGAGCATGTGACTTGATCTGGGAGTTGTGAATTCAAGCCCCACATTGGGGGTAGAGGTTACTTTTAAAAAAATAGTAGAAATGAGGGGATGTACTCCCGAATACTTTTTATAAATTAACATATAGCTGCAATAATTAAAAGTCTTGAGACAATAATAGACAGATGAATCAATGAAATGCAAAAACAAATCTAGAAATAGACCATACTGCATACAGAATTTGGTGTAGGATAAACATAGTAGCTAAACTCATGGGGGAAAAGATAGACAACTCAAAAAACTGTCTTTAAAAACTGGAGAGATGTTTTTAATAAAATTAATTTGAATTTATGCCTCATGATATATATTGGGTAAATTTAAAAGAAGATTTAAATTTTTAAAAATGAAATCATAAAAAAAAACTAGAACACAAGAGGGAATTGATTAACTTGGAGTGGGGAGGCCTTTCCATTATTTAAAATCTGGAGATATTAAGGAAAAGACTGATATGTACATAAAGTGATAAATATAGTTCATGAAAAAAATGTAAAATCTACATGGTCAACATCCATGTGTGGCAAAAACCCTTAACCAATTAGGCACAAAAGAACATATTGCAACATAATAGAGGCCATATGTAACAAGCCCACAGCTAACACCATACTCAATGGTGAAAGGGATGAAAGCTTTTATTCTAAAATCAGAAACAAGACAAAGGTATGGACTCTCACAACTCCCATTCAGCACAGTACTAGAAGTCCTAACGAGAGCATCCGGGGCGGGGGAGGGGGGGCAGCGCAGGGAGTGGGGAAGAAGAGAAGAAAAAGAAATAAAAGGTATCAGAATTGGGAGAGAGGAAGTAAAAATATCTCTATTTGCAGATGGCATGATTTTATTTTAGAAAATCCTAAAGACTCAACTAAAAAACTTAGATCTAATCAATGAATTCAGTAAAGTTGCAGGATACAAAATTAACCAACAAAAATCAGTAGCATTTCTCTATACTAACCACAAAATTTCTGAAAAAAGAAATTAATCCATTTACAACAGCATCAAAAACAATAAAATACTTAGGAACAAATTTAAGGAGGTGAAAGATCTCAATGCTGAAAATTATAAGACACTGATGAAAGAAAACATGAATAAATGGAAAGGTATCTTGTGTTCATGGACTGGAAGAAAATTGTTATAACATCAATGCTACCAAGAGCAATCTAAAGATTCAATGCAGTCTCTACCATGAGTCGCATGGCAGTTTTTACAGAGCTAAAAAACAATAAAAAAACTCTTAAGATTTGTATGGAACCACAAAAGACCCCCAAATAGCCAAAGAAATCCTGAGAAAGAAAAAGCAGGAAGCATCACACTCCTGATTTCAAGCTATATTATAAAGCTACAGTCATTAAGACAGTATGC